AGAGTGTTAGGTACTTCAGGTTTCCCCCTCTATTTCCCTGAAGTCTGCCAGAGACAAAGGCAATTGCAGCTCGATACAAAGGACTTCACACAAAGACAAAAGTTATTTCTTTAACTTTTGAGTAAAGATTAAAATAGCCAGAGGCAATGGAGGATTCTCATTCTGCATCCCAGGCATTGAAAAGCTGTGGAGAGAATTGATCACAGAAGTACAATAGACACATTGGAGATGGTAGAATAGGGAAGGGTAACTTATGATTCCAAGATGAGTGATTGTCTTGCCATTCTTTTATTCCAATTCATCTCAATATTATATGAAAACCACAGCATCTAGAAAATGTCGTTCATTTCCGCAATGTACTACTGCTGTTTTTATACAGGCATGCATGTGTGCAGGGAGAAATATCTGTGCCTGTGAGGCCCAGGAGGAAACACAGGTGCCAACAATCACAGTGCACAGGGCTGCAAGCAATGTTCAAAATTCCTAGAAAAGCCTTTTAGGATTTGAATGAATCTTTTTATGAGCGGGCACATGTCTCATTTCCCTTGAGCTTTCCTTGCTGTAGGTGGTAGATGTGGTCCTTCACATTTTAACTGCCCTTCAGCAATTTTATGTTTGCTTTTAAAGCTAGTATTATTGCTCTACATCTTTGCAGTAAACATCCACATTTTCAAGGAACTTGTTTACATCTTATTAATAAAAATGAATAACACTTCAGAGACAGAGATGAAAAATTGCCACAAGTGATGTCAATTAAGTCTGAGTCAATCTTCTGGGTAATTTGAAATCTTCATTTTGATTTAATTGAATGTTCTGTGCATATGAGGCATTACTATCAAGGCAGAGCATCTTCATATATATAGAAATGCTTCACATTGGCCTATTAGCACTAAAGTGATTCCTAATTAGATTAAAATGTTGTTGCCTCAAATGATCTTTAGTGTTAATAGGAATCCAAATGCCATGATGAAATTTGCATGTAGCACCCCAGGCTTATTGCACTGTTTTCATGGCACGGAAAGCAAGATGGTTTTGTCAAAATGCCATGGGAGCTAATACTCAAACATCTGTCCATAAGACATCTGAGGTCTGTTTAAACCCAGTGTACCAAGATCACTCTGCTAAGAGAGAGTGAGGAAGAGAGCATGTTCCATAGTTCAATTATAAAATCTATGAAGTGGAGAATAATTTTGGATTTCATCACTGATTTGATTGACGCTGGATAATATTGTTACTGGATGTTATTGTTATTAATCTAGGTTCTGTAAAAAATATTTAAAATTGCTTTTGTTTGTTTGTTTTCGTTTTTTTGCAGCCACACAGTTCTGTTAGTGCCATGGGTCCTGGTAATATTGGACCAGTAAAGAAGGAGACCGCTGGTAAGAAGGGCTGTTCATACAGTTTAGCATTCAGACACACATTAGGGAAATAAAACAGCTGTCCTGAGAGTTACTGCTGACACAGCTTGCTTCAAGAACTGAATGGTCACTGGGCTTTGAGTTGAGAGGAAAGTAGCATTACTATTTTTACAATTACACTGTGAAACACTTCTTGAAAGCTGAAACATATATGAAGGGCAGTTTCAGAAGGTAGAAACCTCAAGCAGAGAAGATAAACCGGGTACATAATACAGCCTGATCATGAGCTGAGGGGAACCATAGCTAAGCAGTAAAAAGCTCTGTATAAGAACTGCCATCGAATTGTCAGTGCTTTCTCAGGGCAGACAGGGAGGATGGGCTTTTAAATATTCGTCTGAAAAGATCCTCACAAAATAAACTGCGCCGAACAGAGTTCATCCACCTCGGGAAGATGAAAAGCTACCAAGTGCACCACGAAGCAGACATGCCACATTCCCCTCAAAAGTGTCATAAACCTATTTACACCAAAGACTGGTAGAAAAATAACTACTAATAATTTATTTGCCAGGAAACTCAGGGCAATTAAGGTGCATTATCTGACTCCAGATGTTCTGGCCGCATGTAGAAAGACAGACTTTCAAACAGCAAGAACCAAAACCTTGAGAGTTCTTAAATTTGTTTCTGCACCTTGGATTGTATCTGTGAAGGAAAGAAACCCAAATATAGTTTTAGCAAAGCTGATATAATATCATTCCTGGAGTTAATACTGTCACATATTGGTCATATATGAGCTGTAAGAAAGGTCATCAGCAAGGACCAGGGTGGGTGCAACGAACTGTAGCAAATATAACAAAGTAGACTGGTTTTGCTTGAGAATCCAAAAGTAATCAGAGATCTGACTATAAAAACCTTCAAGTTGAGGATTTACCAGGTGAATAAAAAAAAATACACTTTTTTTTCCATATTGGATAGGCATAAACCATGCTATTCTGCCAATGAACAATGTTCATGAGTCTTCAGTACCTTGTCTGAGTCATGTTCGATAGTTAATGGTAAGAACTGGATTTATATGAGGAAAAGTGATCCAGTTGTGAACATCTTTGCTCACTTAAAATCTCCCACCAGAGGGCTTGAGAAGAGATAAATATTTCATGTACTTTAACATTACCCATTTTTAATGCTATATATTTTATGCCTGAAAGCAACATTTCCTTTACAGAGAGCTTGAATAAAGGAGATTTAAGGGAATAGAAGTGAAAGCATCTTCCATTTGCCAATTCTCATACATATGGTGTCCGTATGATACAGCTTTGTATCAAAATTATAGCCTGGAAAAGCATATGCTCTCGGAAAATCTAGGGGGAAAAAAGACATTCTAAAATATGATAGTTTCATTTCTTTCTTATCACCAGTTACAGGTACTGCTCAAGTGAAATCTGAAAGTAGTAAAACTATTTGGAATACAGAGGAGGTCCCAGAAGGATCAGAATTTGATGATACTTGGGATCCTAGGGAACAGCCAGAGTAAGTGCAAGCGAGCTGAGACTGCCTACAGAGCTTTGAGGGAAGCATGTTAAATAGCAGCTTCTGTGTTCGAGTAACAGACATGTGAAAAGCTTGCAGTGTGGATGGACAAGGAATGAGCACTGATGGTTGCCTTCACAGAAGCAGCAAGTGAAGAGGGATTTGTCATTCAGCTATCTCTCTGCATACTCTTATACATTTGCTTTTATTTTAAACTTATCACCTGCGAGGTATAGAACATAGTCTCCCCTTGGCCACAATGGATGTTTTTCTCATGCCACTTCATTCTTGCCTCTTCCCCTCCCTGGTGGGGAAGGGGTGGCGTGTACAAGTGATTATGTACTGCACTGTGCAGATAAGAAGAGTGTAAATCTTTCTAATAGTTCTTTGGAATAATTCACTGAAAATGGCCCAAAAAGAAAACAGGTGTTCTGAGAGTTGCATCCAGAGTAATTAGATTTTTTACTGACTGCGAGGAATTGTTACATATGCACATGACCACTGGAGATGTGAAGGAAACTTACTATACACGTATTTTTCCAATAGTATAGAGAATGACTCCATTTATTGTATTCAATTTACTAGGAGTAATATCTAATTATGATATTTAGTTATATTTCCTCATTTGTTAAATCTCAAGAGTAAGAGAACATGATTCCAGATTTTGTAGCTTTCAGAATTAGACAAATTAATTTGAAAGGGGAGAAAATCAATGTTGGCCAAATGCAAAATAATTAAATTAGGCAAGAAAACTGTTATTCTATTACTCCGAGAGTATGATGAATGACAAGACAGAACAGAGTCAGAGATGTAATTGTTCTTTTCCCAAGATGCTGCCTTGTTTGACTAGTTGATAATTACCATATTCATTTAGGATGCTTTCTCTGTTCCCTGATCCTAGGCTGCTTAGAGAGGTAGAGGAGGTAAAGTGAATACCTTGGAGGGTGGTGAGAATGTTCTACGTGTTTTACAGCCAACTGTGGCTCTGAAAATAAAACAAAATACAAAAACTCATGCAGATGGATTGAAGGCTTGAAGGGAGACTGGCAAGGAAGAGAGAGAATGTGGAGCATTGGTGTAAGGGTTTATGGTCAGTCCTTTGGGAAATACAGCCTCCTTTAGTCTCCTGCCCTTTCTCCAGGGTGGTGTGAAGCAACTAATGTTCCTCTCTGCCTCTCAGGTATGAGATTTTTTTCAAACAGCGGGTGGGAACAGAGGACATGTTCTTAGGGATGAGCAGGAAAGACGCCTCCACAGCCTGCTGTGAAGACATGGTGGTAAGCGAGCCCATGCCCAGCTCCTCTGGAGCCTTCCCTGCCACCTCCTCCTCTCCCTCTCGCCCCCTTCGCAATACGCAGAACTGAAACATCAAGCTCTGGCACAGCTTTTGGCCTCCTATGGGATTTTCTTGTATCTCTCCAGACAGTTTACAGAGTTACCAACTCTGTAAAGTCAAATGTATTAGATCTTTTCCCATCTATTATATGACCTGGGACTTTGATGCTTTCTGAAGCTCAGGAGAGACGTAACTGCTGTATGCTTATTCTAGCTGACAATAAGCTTTTTCCAGCTTACAATAAACAGGCTTTTGGGTGGATGGAGAATACCTGTCAAATATACTATCAGTTCAAGATTTTGTAGAAAATAAGGTATCGATGCATCGCAGCTATTGAAAACAACGATTAGCATTTTCTCATATTTTCTGTAATGCAGATAGCCTGTTCATATTGCTCTTTGACATGAGCATCAAAATGATTATGAAAATATGAAATCTTTTATGGTTTGTAGGGTTGACAGCTAATCTCAGCTTTACTCTGCTTCTTATTTCAGATTAAAATCAAACTGCCAGAGACAAAGTTCTCAGACATCACTTTAGATCTCCAGGATAAAGTTCTTGATCTTCGAACTCCTCAAAAGTAAGAGAATTGGAATTGGTAAAGGTGTAGTTAATAACTTATTGAAACGGGAGTTTAACCAAACCTTCAATAAAATACTTTGTGGAAAGCAAATGTAAAGATGTAGATCAAATTATTAATTGCACAGGAGAAATAAATACAGATTACAAAAAAGTACTATAGTCAATTTTTAGGTTCATAATGTGGTAGGTTTAAAGCCTCTAATACCAGTCTAGCAAGAATAACCTTAAAACAGTTTTTGCCTGCTGAAACAGGAACCCTCAAAGGCCTAAAATATGACTGCAGTCTTGAAGAACTACTTGGGAATTTGTTTTATAAGTGTTAATTTATATATATGCACAAACGAAGATAAAACTCTGCAGATATAGTTTAGAGGTTAGGAGTGGAATTACATCTATGCCTGGTTATGCAGAGAGGGATGGAATTATTGCCAGGTTGTCCTAAAGAGATTTTCCTTGAGTTCTTGCTTTTAATAGGATTGTTTCATAACTACAACAAAGGCAGCTAAGCTCTGACTGACATACTGGGATTCTCACAGGCTTCTTTCATATTTCCCACAGTGTGGGATAGTTAAAAATCAATTACCGAACCCCTAGTTAGAAAAAGTTACAGCTTTATGCAATACTGCAGGTGTAGGAAAAAACTCCTTTTTCTTTTGCAATTCTACTCTTTGGTGACTTAAATCTAGCATTGTCTTCTTAGTATCCAGATGTCTCAAGTCGTAAGCGTAGCAAATAAACTATTTGCTGTAACTCACTGGAAGGGGACTTTCAGTGAGTTCAAGATCCAGCCTTCCTGTGTATGTCAGGTGCCTCAGATCACCTAGTAGATCACCACTGAATTGATCTCCACTGTGAGTTTTTTTTTAAAAAAAGCACAGATACTTTATAACCCTAAGTCCACTCTCATGCCTGCACTTTACTTTGTAGTATACACATGTCCCTTGCTTAACTGGACTGGAGAAAACTTCTAATTAGGCTACACCAGTTACTTCTTTAGTTTCTTTATTTAGTAGGGAAGACAAGCTCATAAAGACACATGTTCAGGCCCTAGGCATTTCTGGGATTTATTTTTTCATCTGCCAATATAGCATTCTCCATGCTATATCCCCCTTCCCCTGCATTTACAGTGCAGCGTCACACAGAAGTGACAACTGTGGAGAGAACCCACAGTCCGTAGTTGGAAGTTGTGTCTTAGTCGCAACCAGGGGAAAGAGCAGTGTTGGAAATATTCCAGGGCCTTGGGTACTGCAGATGGCCCACACCCTGTCTTGAGTGGGCAAATATGCTAAATTAGTGTTGCTGGTTATCCTGTGATAGGTGAACTGGTAGAGTAAGTTTTCAGTTGTTCACCCAGTCTCAGGCATCGCAACCAACTGTGTCCTGTTTTATAGGAAGCTGTTGCTGCACCTTCCCCACCCAGTGGACAGCAAGAATGGAAAAGCTCATTTTCTCTCTGAAGAGGAGATCTTGGAAGTCACCTTGAGGATGACAAGGGAGTTTGACTACATCAATTTTGCCTAATGCATAAAGAAGTCGGGAAAAAATTCAAAAAGTGATCCCTGTACATTTGAAGTCTTCTAAAGTACTGGTCATCAAATAGTAGATTTCCCCTTGAACAGCCCAGGAGGAAAATCTCTGGAGAAATTAAATGAGTTAGCAGGAAAAAAAGAGAAAGGAAAAGATGTATTTAAAGCACCTACAGAATGTGCAAGCTGGGCCTGCACACCTCTTCTGCAGCTCTGGTTAAAATTGTGCTATCTTCAGTCTGATCCAAGCCTGGGAGCTGGGCGGTAGGTGATGATCAGCACAGTGAGGCACTGACCCAATGCTGTTTCTTTGAAGGGATAGGAGTCCTGCCTGGCTTCCTATTAGAGAAGTTGAGATCAAGGCAAGTCCAGAATTCACTTTTAGCTATTTCTAGCTGGATATCTGTAAGCTTTTCAGGAGTTTAATTTTCAGATCTGAGGCTTATTTACATTGGCAGAAGAAGACACCCTGCTAGACGGTTGAACAGCTTGGCTCTTTTGAATAAGTTTTGACAATATGCGTTCCAGTGTCCTCCATTCACCTGCTCTCCAGCTATTCTTCTGATCTTCCTTAATAAAAGTTTGTTCTAATAAACTGTTCCAAGTTGCTCCCATGCTACCTTCCTGAAATTATATACTGACTTTCTAAAAAGTGACATAAGAGGAATTCTGAATAACAAAGCTTCATTCCCTTAAAGGACTGAAGCAGGACATTTCTCTTCATAAGACATATGATGTGTGAGGACATTTTAAAGGCAGTGTATTTTCCAAATTTATGTTGCAAATTCCTTGTCACCAGGTGGCAGAGCAGCAACACAGCTCATGATAGTACCGACTTTTATTTTTCCCCCCAAAATACCGAGTTTCAGAGCACCTACAAATCTGTTAATATCTAGTGTCGGGTATATATTCTGTATTTGTCCACTTATCAGTTTGTCTCAATTTAACTATTTCAACCTTCCCATCTAAATCGTATCCATCAAAAATGCAAGCACATTTAGAGACCAATTCTTGACAGTGTAAGACTGTAAGACTATTTATTTCTATGAAAATTTCCTCTGTGCAAGGAGATGATTGATTCCATGTATGAATAGCTGTCCCTCCTGAAGTAGTCCTGAATAGTTGGCCCTCCTGAAGTCCATCATTG